AAGATTTACCTTGCACCTGGAAGAAACCTCTGTCTCTGAGGCCCATGAAGTAAAATCTGTAAAACTATAGTAATGGCCAAATTAAAGTATCTCCATCCTACCAAAAGAGTAAGCACAAATCTTTATGGTATCTGTGGGGGAATGAAGAAATTAGTGCCACCATAAAAAATATGGAGGAATAACGAGTGGAGGTTATGACCTTTAAATGACTTGTTTAGTCTGAGTAGAAGACAAACTAATTTTGCCAAACTATGCATTTAATCAGGTGGTGATTACAAACACAGCCAATATGGTCTCTCCACTGATGAAAATCAAAAAATATCTTCACCATTGTTTAGGAATGGTCTAATCGTGACAATCAACTTTTTTAACATCTCAATACACAGAAACCACAGAAAACATTTGTTGCCACCTTGTCAAGAGCGACAATGTACTTTCACCATCTTGTTTCAGCATTCTCTTAAATTTCCTGCTCTACAGCATGATTCAGTCCTCAGGGAACCCTGATCATCTCAATATCCTAAGATGCACCATGCTGGTCGACTACATGAATGGCATCAAACTGAAAATATTTGATGGAATGGGATTATCATGTACCCCAGACACCTTTGCAAGAACCAAGAAATAAAAACCATCAAAATATAGGGGCATCTTTCTTAATGATATTTCTACACTTGATCTTAGCCAAAAGGCCGAGAAGCAATCTTAGTGATATTTCTGATACTCTGGGACAGGTTGGGACATCCCCTCCAAAATGTTTGCTGCATTTTGCAACTCATATCATGTCAACCAAACCCTCTGAAGACAGAATCCAAGAGCCTAAGATTAATTCAAAACGAAGTTGGTTTATTTTACCTCAGAATTGGAATTCTGTACCTTTGCATATTAAAATATTAGTAATTTAGGGTTTTGTTTGTTTGTTTGTTTTTGGTTAGAATGAGCTTATTCTTTCTTGGGATAAAATATACATTTGTATATATTTAAAAACCTTTAAATTTCAGCATTTGATAGAGTATGCCTAGGGCAGAATTATTTTAAAATAAAAACTTTAAGAATATGTTTATAGAAAAATATGGTAATGCACACTGTTTTGTGAGTGGATAACGAAACTTAAAAAATATTCCCTTTTAATAGAATTTTAATTTTCATACTATGTGTTGATCTCTATCTATCCATTCATCCATCTGTCCACCTAACTATCCAATAGATATTTTAGATAAATAAAACAGAAGAACAACAGAAATGTTGTTATGTAAATAATCTAAATACTTTTTTAAAAAGGAAAGATTATCATGTGTAATTCAACTTTTTGAAAGAATGTATTGCATAAAGCACACAAGGTCACTAGGAAGCTGGAGGAACTCACTCAGTATCCCTTTTCTAAGTTTAATAATTTAAAAAATTCATGGTTTGCATTTTCATCATTTTATCCACTTTGCAACCTATTTGTTAAGAGTTTTCTACATAATTAACATATTTCCATTGTATTTTCCTATCATTTTCCCTTCCTCCACAGACAGCATTTATCTTCCTGTAAATTACTTTTTTCCCTCATTTTTTCCCCTTTCAGATGTTTTTATTTTTCTTGACCATGAAAATCCTCATAATTTTACAATGCTTTCCTGTCAACCTCAGTACTATTTGCTGCATTTTACAAGGACCCTAAAGTCCAACTAATTCTAGTATTCTTAAAACTTTTCTTAAAACTTCATATTTGGGGTTTTGTTTTGTTTTGTTTTGTTTTTTAAGTAATCTCTACACCCAACATGGGGCTCAAACTCACAACCCTGAGATCAAGAATCACATATTCCATCAACTGAACCAGCCAGGTGCCCCAAAACTTTATATTTTGACTTTACTATTAAATTACATGTAAAAAAGTACCATTTGAATTTAGACAACTTCTCGCAAGAACAAGGTGCTAGACTTCATAATAATATAATGACTGAGAAAGTGTTTTAAATACTGTATAAACATCCATAAATTTATCATTTAATCACTATCTTCAGCACAAAATCATTATTTACTTTTATAGACCAATCAGCTAGGGTTACCTAATCAATTTCAGTTCCTAGCTTAATGAAAGATTCTCATCTTGAAAAAAATTGCTAGTTTTTCTTCTTGTACTTTAAAATATCATTTTGAATCTGGACAGTTCAGACTGTGCACTAAAACTGCAATAGATGACTGATGTCAACCTTCTGTGACCATCTCAAGTGACCTCAATGAGAAACCAAAAACAAGAAGAACCGGAAAACCAGTTAAGCAGATGCAGGCCAGTAATTTTTTGAATAATACGATATGATAGAAACAGAATGTATTAAGACGACATAAGGCTCTTTCACACGCCTACGTGGAAATCAGTAAACCTTAACTTCTGCAACCAAACGAATTGTACCTTGGGACGCACACTATACAATGGAGAACTGCTTGCAAGGATGGATACCCTTTTCCCTTTTTGCATATAATCCTCTGTAAACTGACATGCTTTGGAGGAGTTCTTCAGAGCAATTTAAAGTACTGTCTCCTGGGCTATAGTCCTCATTAAGACACTGAATAAAACATGTATTAATCTATTTTAGGTTGGCTTTTTTTTTTTAGTCAACAACACACTGTGTTGATGTCACAGAAAATAAATCGGAAAATGCCAAAATAAATGAATCTATTACGAAAGAAATGCATTTCTCAAAAAACCCTCCTTAAAAAAAGATTGATACTGAAGTTAAAATCTGCTGAAATTTTATATAAAAAACAATACAGCACAAATAATTTGCTTCAATTTAGTGCTTAAAAATATTCAAATATTAAAAAGTAACTACTACAGCCCATTTTCCATAATGTTGGTACTTGGTAAATATGCAGCAATTGTGACATTAAATATAAGAAATCTTAAGAGCTACTTGAAGTTAACAATTTTTGTGAAAATGGAGACTTAGTTTGTCTGGAATGGTCAGATACGAAGAAAAATCTCTTCTTGTTTTGATTTTTTTTTTTTTTTTATGTTTGCTAAGCTTTTACAGTATGTGTATCCTGAGAACTTGGAAAAAGTAGCAACCAAAATGTCTGCTCCGAATACAAATGTTTATTTTATATGATAACTGCCTTGAACAGCTGGATGAAAATTATTCTTTCATGGCATTTAAGGTATTTATACATCAAAAAGCACACTTTGCAGTCTGAACAAACTAACAAGTCAAAGACAACTGGAGCAAATATTTTTTAAGTATATCACTTTAAAAGTGTACAGTCATTTCCTATACCTAGCTCGTCAGAGAAATATCATTCAAGTAAACTGAGGTTATGCAAGCTAGAAATTGTTCTCCCTGAGGAATACAACTCAGTGATTGTTCAATATGTTTTCAATATATTAATGGAAGACTCATACACAGAATCAAGTAAAGTTGAAAGATGTTGCATGAGAAGCTTGAAATCACATGTTATAAAACCAGTATTTTTCTGATGTGGGAAGGCAGTTCACATTTACTGAACACTTGTGACTAGATACCATGATAGAATATCAACATATACCAGTATCAGCAGCTGCTGAGTCTAGAGTGAAGGAAAACTTAATTTCCAGTATTCCTACCCAGCTCTTTAACAATTCTATTAGTTCTACCTTAGGTTAGGGAGCAAATGGAGAGAAATATAAAGGATTCACTTAGGGAAATGGCATATATGTGTGCAATGTTTTCTCTCATGGAATAAAAAAAGTGGACATCTATTCAACATGGATAGGAATCTCTAGAGTATTTAGAATGATTCTTAGCAAATTGCTCAATTACTTTCATATCATCCAGGCTGCTCTTGAATATTTCCCTTGGTTTAATCAATCAGAAGAAACTATGAACTCAACTGTATGCATTTTCTTATTCTCAAGAGGTAATGATTTGATTTACCTGACACATTCAATATAATTCAAATTATTTTGGACGAGACGTGGTTACCAGCAGCATTCTCTTGTCAACCCAGTCATTCTACAATCTACAAACTTACACTAATGCATGTCCAATTCGATTCAGTCAAACACATCCTATTTCATTGTGAATACGCTGGCAAGAATGTCCTCACTGAAAAAAATTCCAGCTGAGGTACTAAAAAGTGTGACAAGTTTATGCCCATGGACTGAGAGCTGTGGCCAGGGAATAGAGGGAAGTTACATTTAATGTCTCATCCTACCCACACACCTGTTGTTGACAAAAACAAGTCATAAATTGCCCATGGGCTTTGAATGATTTTTGTCACATAATAAGTTGAATTATTAATTTAATCATAGACTATCTTTGGTTTTCATTTTACCAGAAAAGAAGTCCTCTATATTGATGTACTTGAAATTGCATATCTGAGTGGAAACTAGGGGGGGAATCAGTGCTCAAGCAGAACTGTATTTCCTGCTCCTTAATAATTACTCCCTAGTAATTCCAAAATCTTCATATGGAACATAAATGTGTTTTCATGTATAGTTCAGCTATTCTAACTTTGATAAATGGATTATCAAAGAAAAATTTGTTTTGTACATTTTTATAATAATAATAGAAATAATGAGAAAAGCCTATTTCAATGTGCAAAGAAAATTCAGCTGTGATGCCAAACAAACAAATAAACAAGCAAATAGAACCTACCTGATTATCTGCTAAATTAATGAAATAAAAAAATGATGTAAACAAAACAACAAAATATGTAGATTTGAGCTATCATAATTGCATGTGTGAAATTTGAGGTAAAAATTTTTGCTACAAATGAATTTGAGCCAGAAACGTCTTTTTAATAAAAAAATTCAATTGAAACATATTTTTATTTCCCTGTCCATATATGAGTCTGCTAAGAAAGCCTTAGCTTTTATTTGTTTAAAACTAAATAAAGCATTTTGAGATAAGGTGTACTTTAAGTCCTAATCTTGTGATTTATGGGAAGATCTCACGCAGTTCAGCCCTCACTTAGCTATGGAGATAATTGACAGAGCTCGGCCTAAGGTACATGATTTGGCTGGACATCACACTTACCTGCTTGATTTGTGGTTACATTTACAGACACATACTGCCGGGCTCCTGGGCTCAAGTCGGACACTCCATTCACTGCCTCAATCTCAAAGGTATAGTTTGTGTGAGCGAGCAGATCCACCATCATGACAGAGGTGTTTTTCAGGCCGATTTGCCGGGGGAGGTACCTGACATGACCGCCACACTCCTCACACACACCTGCATGGGAGTTGCACTTCTTGCATGCAATATAATATGATACATCTTTCCTTCCACCAGTGTCAGCAGGAGGAATCCATTCCAGAAAGACACTAGTTTCATTAACATTTGAGATGGCATTCCGAGGAGCTGAGGGGGGTCCTGGTTTGCAAAGTAAAGTGAGAAAAACATATTTTAAGATGATAAAAATAGGCATTGTTTACTATACAAATCCCTGGTCTGAAGAAAAAAAAATAGATTTGTAATCAATCTTTTAAATAGGGCGAATGCAAGAATCATCAATTTGTAATAATCTTTGGAAAATCTTGTTATAGTTTTGTTGGGACAATAGCGGGATTTATACCCTATAGAAATAACTTATCTTGGCATTGTTATAACCACTTGTTTAGTTAAAACATACGTTTTGCTTAGTGTACATGTAAAGAATTATGGAGTACAACTATGTATGTAAAAATGTTAGATAAAAAAATTATATATTCAGAAAGTGGTAAGTTCTTTGACAAGTCCAAGGAAAAATTCTCCTTGGGGATTGAACTGATTACTTCCTTATTGAGATCTGTCCCAGAAACCTAGGAAGTACACATGAAGGATTTACTAAGCAATGAGCACAAGTGAAAATAGGATTTGTCAGTGTGGCTCTTGACTACAAATTCTGCAGCAAGTAAAATAGCCTGAGCTTACCTCAAAATGAATTGCATATCCACAGATAAATCACCAACAGCATTTGAAATCTTCCTCATATGTCAAGAAGAAACTAGAATTTAAGTTGTTGGACATTGCAATGTGTAATGAAACTCACTTACTTTGATACTGTTTTAATACTGTGGCTCTGCAAGTTGTGAATTTAACTTAATTGGAAATCAGAAATTTATTTTAAAAATAACTCTCAAAAACACTATAAGAGTAAGAATTAAGGTGTTCAGATCTTAAAGGATCAGCAGAACAAATTTATATATAAATAATAAACAATGTCCATTTGTATATTACTTTATTTCTGAAACGAATAATTAGCTTACTAAAGAGAACTAAAATTAATTCCGTATCAGTTGTGACAATTGTATACCACTCTGGCGGGGATTGATAAAGGGGGAGGTTTTATGTATGTAGGCATGGGGTATATGGGAAGTCTCTGTGTCTTTAAATTTTGCTGTGAACCTAAAACTGCTCTAAAAAAAATAAAGTCTTTTAAAAAAGGAATCGCATAATGTCTGTCTCTATAGTTGATTTTCAGGTATTTAGAGTTATAACTTCAATCAGTTGTTAATGTTATATGGTCACATGTTCCCCCCCCAAAAAATACATTTATATTTGTTTCAGACTTAATACGTAAAACTTCCTGACAGGGAATAGAATGGACTATGGTGGTCGTTGAATGGTTCATAAGCATAAATTAAGCTACTTGGAAGGACATATCTTAGTTCTCTTAATATCTGTTGTTTTAAATATAGAGATTAATATTAATTTCTACCTAACATTTATTGAGCCATGGCTGTTGAAATTTAAAAGTGATAAAAAATCCACCTGGTATTTACAAATTGCCATTTAAATTAAAGGACCTCATAACCTAAGAGTTGCCATTTTTGGCAAAATAATCCCCAGCTCGACTATATTTCTGATTGAACCCTGTGAATCTTCCATACATACAACCTCACACACTTCAATATAAAGCAGTTACTTAAGATGGAAATACACAAGTATTATTTTTTTACTATAAACTTTAGCTTATTTAATAGTGGAAAGTTATGGAGAAAATGTCATTTGAGATCAAAATGTTACAGGTTTACTTCTGAGAAAAAGGTAAAATATACTTGAAATATGTCTAGTTCAGGAAGACATCAAACTTTTTTCTTCCTGACATCTGAAATATAACCAAATTAACATCTTTTCTCTAAATCTGTAAAAATGAAAAAAAAAAAATCAGAGTCTGACTCTTCCTTTTCTTCTGACTCTCTACTAACAGCCCCTCAAACATTTGAGGGGGAAGTATATGTCTTTAAATGTCAAAATGAAACTCAAATTCAAGTGAAGTCCTAAAGTAGAAGTAAAAAGTAGAGGCTCAGATTGACATGCACTTAAAAAATAACCTAATGAAATTCCACTGCCTTGCTGAGATGTGAAATATGAACCAAAACAGAGCTATGAGAAGCACCCCTCATTGAAGCAGATTCACCAGAATCTTTTTTTCTTTTCCTGTGAGTTTATAACATTCTATTTTCCAGATTTATATATTTATAATATATACATTATATATTATATAAACATATGTTATATATTTATATATTTATACATATGTACATCAAAATTATTAAAAGCAGTTGGAACCATAAATTTAATTCCAAAGAGCCAACGGAAAGCAAAATTCCAGACTTTCATGTGAACATGTGAACATCAATCAAGCCATCCATGCAAGGGGATCATATGCAGTATTTGTGGTGCTAGGAATGCAACTAAAAACGGAACGCACACACCCGCAGATTATATATTAGAAAGATCTTCTACACAAGTCCCAGTAGTGTTTTCGACAAATGCATACAAATTCTTTTGAAAAACAGTGTTAGAAATTCGCACACCTGGAAACAGAAAATTTGAAACCCCAAGTCCTGTAAGAGGACTAAGCAGTCCCTGCCACCAGAGCACAGCCTTTCCCTCACCCCAAACCTAATGAACTTACAGAAAGGGAGACTCACTTTTACGCTGAAAAAGAGAAAGATCATGGCTGGACCACTTAAAGAAAATAACTATTAGAAAATAAATGAAATTTAAAAGATAATTCAAGATATGGTTTTCTCTCCCTAATTTGCCACTTTATTGTCTGGCCACATTTCCCTTTTACTCTCTGGGCATTCTTTTGCTCTGATAATTAAAATAATCTCAACCGTAACCAAAACATATCACATGCAATCATAGTTTATGTCTCCTCTACTCAAATGCATCCTCCCAAAAGTGTATATAATAATGTCATTTTACTTATTTGAAAAAGAAGTGTTTATAATTAGCAATCATCTAACCCATAAAATGATCAGTCTTGTGATAAAAGAATGATCTTTAGCAATGTACAGCTAATTAATATCAAGGATTTGAGAAATTATGAAAATATGTCTCACTGACACTATGAAATTCAGATGCTGAAATTCAGATAAAACTTCAGTTTGTTTTCATTTGATTAAAGGAATTGTATGTCTGTTTATATTTCATACTAGAATGAATACTAGATTTCAAAAATTTTGGTCATCATCTTTTAGAGCAACTGCAGCTGCTAGGATCAAAAATAATAAAACAAGGCAAGGTCATGGATACTGAATCTTATGGGGAGAGGAGATACACTTTCTTCCCTTCCATTTTGAGTTTTTGTTTGATTTGCCATAGAGACTGGGAATGTGGACAACTTACAAAAGTATTTTTATCAAGCAAACAAATACATAAATGCGTTTCCTCCTCAGAAATATGTGGAACACTAGAAAAACAAAAACACCCAAAAACATCGATGGATGCGGATGCTTCCACTGCAAATGTTGGAATTAAATATTTACTCTTCATCATTCTAATTATATGATTATGGGATCATATAATTAATAATAATTAAGGACACTCACTTATAAGAAATATGACAACTGCTTAGAAGTCTTAGCTAAAGGCTTAGTTTTCTATTTGACTCCTAAATCTGATTTGCCAACCCCCAGTACTCCATGCTCTTGAAGTGTTTCCTGTCTTCTTTCATAAATGACCTTCTAACTGGCCTTTGTCGTTTTGTGGGGCAAATTAAGTAAAAAAAAAAAAAAAAAAAAAAGGCAAAAGTACTGTTTATTACATGTTTATGTGATCAAAAGCCTGGCTCGGGAGAAGACGAAGAATGAAAAAAAAGTTTACGGTGAAAAGGAAAATGGGTTTATCAGAGTCATGTTTAGCTGTCATGAACACTAAAAGAAATTACAAAATAAAAGAAAAAATTCCTTATCTGTCTCCGATGTTGAATTTGAAATTAGGGAAAATGAATGCTTCTAACAATGGGTAATAAAAGAGACTCCAACTTTTCAGTGCTTACTTAAGAAAATCAAAATCTGGTTTAAAAAACTATTTTGGAAGATTAAACATTATGCCTGTTTTAGGGGAAATGGTAATAGGATGTAACAGGCTCTCCATCAGGTTCTTTCTTCAAAGTGGTGAAAGTTAGCATCACCAAATATTGGTTGGGTTCCTTACTTGTGCATGCCATTGTGGGTGGATCAGACTCCCTCCTGAAATAATCCTTTTCACAGACACAAGAGGTTGAAGCTTCCTCATGGGTAAAACTGTGAGGTGGACATTTGCTGCAGCTCTGGTTGTGAGGTGAGGCTTTGAAGAACCCAGGTCTGCACACTGTCAAAAGAAATAAGAGACTAAGCTTTTCCCTGGAACAGATGCATTGTTTGCTTTGTGAATAATGTCATTATTTTGACTACTATACACAGATTACATATAACACAATATTGCCATTAATTTCAAAAATGTTTCATAAGCTTCTGAATCATAAATGCCAGGCTATCATTCAGATAATCAAATATTTAAGTATTTAAATTAAACATGTCTGGACTGTGTGTATTTTAGTGATTTTTATGTTGTGGGAGCTTATAAGAAATTATATTATAAAAGGTAAATACCTATATATATTTAAAACTGAAGTAGTGCTTTGAGTGTAATTTTCATTTATGGTGTTATCAACACAACTTTTGTTGAAGAAATAATAGTTTTTCCCTATGCTCATAGAATGGTAGGGTACATAGTAGGTGCTCAAAATTTTGTTATTGAATTAATAAATTAATTGGTAGGTGTTAAAAGCTTCACACATTTTGTTGGATTTGGAAGAATGCATGGATGAGCTGGTGTATCATTCACATTATATTGATTTCAGGGGGAGTCAGATGTTAGGCATTTATTTTACATTTTATTCCATTTTAGAACTTTTATTTGACTCAACAAGCATCTATTCTAATATCATTCATACTTATACTGTACATATTGTAATGATCCATAAAGGCTAGAAACTGTGTCTTGTTCAATTTTGCATTCATAATATTTATCACAGTGTTTGACCACAGTAGGTGATCATAAATTATCATGTAATGCATAAATGAATGAATGACATGGCATGAAGATTGTAACTGAACTATTCAGAATCACATACAGAATATGTTCTCTGGATATTTTTGTTAACATTTCTGTTAGTGGTCAAGTAAGTGCTAACAAAATAAATCTTTTTATGATGCTCATTCCCTAATCTTTTGTATCTTTCTTTCTTCTCAATGGCTAGTAAAGCCAAACTTTCATTGAAGTTTCCCTCTATGGGCCAATCAAAGACACCAAACCATTGGTTTGATTACTTTTTAGGGTTTAGATTACATAAAACTAATCAGCCATATATATTTTTTTCTATTTTCAAAACTCAGTACATACACTTAAGAACATTTATTCAAGCATCAATGGAAATTTGCTGAAGTTCAAAGGTGAACTTGTATTTCAACAGAAATTTTTGATAGACAATGAATTTGGGCTAATTTTCATGTGCTATAAATGATTTGGGGTTTTAGTAATCCATGCAAAGGCTTTCTGCCATCACCATGAATAATCAGGAATTGACAAAAATGAGAAGGTACTTTTTCAGTAGATCTAATTATAGAGATAGCAAAGCCTTAATGTTCTTATAAATTCAGAGAGAATGTGAAGGTATTTGAAAGATAAGAAGAGCTTTTTGATAGTATTAGGGACATTCTTGTAGCTAAATGATTAGGAAAAGATTTAAAATATTATTTTTCTTATAATAGGATTGCTGTAGCACCCAATACCATTCTTAGCTAAGTTATACATTTTTTCTTCTTTTATCCTCTTCAGTAAAACCATTCTCACTTTAAACACTATTTACTTTCAAAGACATGAAGTGTCAATCCACAATTCTGCATATTTGGAATTCAATGATCATTTATAAAACAAAAGTCAGCTCTTTTATTTAATGCCTTTTAACCTAAAAACTTATTTTGATATCGTATGTAACACTTATTAACCCTCCATGGAAACTTTGGAAGCAGAAAGTAATATAAATGTAAGTAAAAGTAGATATATGTATCTTTCTGGTCAGGAGTTCAACAAAACGCTTTCAGCAGGTGTAGTGGGCCAGAAATTTTGCTCAGTACTAGATTACAGAGGTAAATAAGATAGACATGGCTCTGCTTTTATGAGTCTTAAAAGTACTGCATGAATAATTATAAATATTTCTACACTAGAAAAAAGAAAGAGCATGGAAGTGAACACTGACACCTAATTTAGACTGGGATGTCAAAAAATGACTTCCTTAGGAAGCTGAGTCTGCCGATATGTTAAAAAAAATTAAAAAGGAAAATTATCCAATTTACATTAGGGGGGCATTAGAGTGCATTAAACTGCATTAGAGGGGCAAAATCCTTGCAAAGGACCAAAATACGTGAACAAATAAGGAGATAGAGCAAACTAAAGAATTGATAAGGGTGATCATAAAATTTTAAAGTGGCAGAGATAAAGTTAGACAGGGAAAAGGACACCAGGACACACTTCATAGTTTTTATTATTTGAGGTCATTACAAAATTTTAAGCAGGGAAATACTGAGATGACAATGATGTTTGAGAGATCACTGTGTAGCAGTGTGGGTAATGGGCTGGAGAGGAGCAGGGATGGAGGCAATTGTTCCTTTTGCTTCTGTTGCACTGGTGCAGGAAAAGACTCTTGTTCCAATGGTGATAGATGAGAGTAGGTGAATTCAGGAGATCCGTCTGAGTTAAAATCAACGAGATTTCATGATATATTTAATGGGTTAGATGTGAGAGTGGGAAATCCTAAGACTGACTCTAAGGTGTTTGGCTTTCGCTGCCCAGGAACTACAGGAGCCATTTTCCTCAGAGAATGCTTGATATGAAATGTGTTTGGGGGAAGATAATGATTAAAGTGTTATTTAATTTGAGGTGGCAAAAGAAATCCAAATAGAGATATACAGAGGAAAGCAGTAGACTCAATGTTATCTAAGAAAAAAAATATATATGTATATATACATGTAAAAGTAATTATTCATTGCCTTCAAATCATGGCCCCAAATCCAAATGGGACATACAATGCTGCTAGACAATCTTAGTATTATTCCTTAGTTAACTTTAGTTTTCAGCATCAACATGATTATTTTGTAGCTTCTCCTCTCTCTTCTTACTCCTTAGAAGCTCTGCTCTTTTGTGATTCCTAGCTGGTTACATTTGTCTCTGTGCTGAGAAAATAGAAGTCATTAGAGGAACTTGCTTATTTTCCTACCACCAAATCTCCAAACCTATAACACTTGTAGCCACCCTCTCTACCTTTCTTCCCGTTAAAATGCACAGATGTTTTTGATTCTATCAAAGGAAGATATCTTTATTTTAATTAGGAACCTCATCTCTATTCTCTGAGGGTAATATTTCAAATATCCTTTCTACATGCTCAGTCTCTCTCAATCTCTTTCTTCAATCTCTGCTCTGTCTGTCTGGCTCTCTTTCTCGCCTAGTCATTCACATGAGCCCAGTACAATTTTCCAGAACTTTTCAATGTAAACAAAGTGAAACAAAACAAAACAAATAATAACAACAATAAAATATCAATCTCACTTGATCTCAATTTTCCCTGTAGCTACCCCACAGTTTTGTTCCCCTCCAAAACACAATTTCTAAAATTACTTTTCCATGCATGCATCCCAAGTTCCTATTTTAAATTATACATTGGCACAGTCCACTCCCCTGAAACTTTTCTTGTTAAGATTGCAGTCATTTTGTTTCCATACTTCTCAACAGCATTTGATCATGTCCATTTTGGGAAGCTCTAATTAATTTTACTACAAAATGCTAGCATAGCCTGCAAGTTTCCACACAATATCTAACAAATCCTTCAAATGTGGTCCCCTCTCACACTCACTATCTCCATCTGTACTAAACTACTTATAATTTCCAGCATTTGAGAAACTCCTTTATCTGCTTCTGAATATTGCAGGAAAAGCATTCCAGCCAAAATACAAGAAGTGTAAGTTAAGGGGAAAAAAATTGTAGTCCCTGATAAGGAATTTGGATTTAACCTGAATGCATTTTGAAAACACTGGGTATTTATTTTTTGAGGGCACTCCTTTTGTCAAGCACTGTGGCTAGGAATATTTATATTGTGGTCAGAAAATAAAAATTGTACTTGACACGCTAAAGCTACAACATATTTGGGGAGATAGAAAATAAAGAGTAATAATCAAAAGAAGCAAAATTGACCTTTTTGCATTTTAATCGTGGCAATGTTTAACAAATAATTATCTAGATGAGTAGTAAGATTTCTTTAAACTCAAACTTGATATGTTTCATTTAAACATAAAGGAAGCTTTTGGAGTAAAGTTGTTTCAAAATGACAATTGTACATTACCTAAAAATTATTTAGAAAATATCATGCAAGTCCATTTAAGTTGAACAAGGAGTTGGAGACAAAAACTGCATCCTATGTTGACATGTTTCATTAGTCTGATTTGGAGGGAAGGAAACTATTTTTTTTTTTTGAAGGAAAATATTTTTAATAATTCCTATTCTGTCCACGCTTCAAAGGTTCTTTTTAAGAGCTTTTTTCATGATGTTTATGATGATCTCCATTGCTACATATTCTTTCCTTACACACCTTTTAGACTACAAACTATTTATTAAACATCTGTTTTGTGACATATACTAAAAATTTTGTCATAATTTTATGTGTATGAATTTTCACCTGCTTTATATAGAGTTGGGAAACTATATAAACATTCTAGAGAATGGAAGCGGTTCATTTGATTTTCATCATACATTACATAGCATAATTTGTTGTACTGAGTACATATTCATCAGTATTTATTGTGCAAATAGTATAATGTGTCCTTCTCAGAGTGTAAATGATATAGCGGAACTTAATAAAAGCTGATGAAGCTACATCATTTAAATATTAAGTCTTGGAAAGTAAATAATAATATGTCCTACATCTACGCTGGCTACCTTAGAGGTTTTGCAAAAACTACCAACATTCCAGCTCTCATACTTATCACTTAGAAAACAAGGATGTTAATTAAATCTATTAAAACAATTGTAAAAATCTAAACAGAAAAAGCATATCATCAGTATATGAATTTCAATTGTCAAATTTGTGAAAAGATATTGCCTAATCTAATTAGAAAATCTTAAAAAGTTCTCAAAATTACCAAAATTGGTTAACCTCATAATTTAGGGTTTTTCCTATAAATTTTTATAATCAATTAAATTACTTTTAATCTGTCCAAAATATTTTAGCCTTAAAGGTCCATCACCCTTGGGATACCTAAGTGAATTCACTTTACAGT